TCAGTATCTGCTTATTTTAAGTAACATGCATGATGCACGAGGAGATATCACCAACCTGTTTAATACTTATTTATTGATCAAATGACACACGTCATGTGAATCAAAAGTAAAAATTAATATTTATAAAAAAAACCTCTCTTATACCTGAAAATCTTATTCATCAACAAACTGAAAATGCATTGCTAGATTTTATTGATAAACCTTCAATGGTTTAGATCAATATCTTATCACAGTTTAGATGATGTCCATACAAGAATCAACTACTATATTTCAAATAATACTGTTTGAAAATAATTTTTCGTTTTCACATTTATTATTGTAGCAAAAATGTTTTTTTTTTTAGATGACGCAATTTTACAGTCAATTTTATATAATTTTCAAAACAAAATGAATAGCGAGAATAATTGACAATGTTTGTATGAAAAGGTATCCGATCAGATTCAACATAATTTCAAAAACGGTTTTTATCGGATTTATTTATTAATCAAAACCATGTTATCAGTCCACAACCATCATCTTCAATTGAATAATAAGGATGTTTGTTAAGCGACAATCGAAGGATAGAATGACATAATTGTTTAATAAATTTTGTATTATCTTTAAATGCGATTTTGACTTCATCTGCACTCGTCGAACAACATGCGCGTCGAAAGCACAGAACAAAATTGGTGACCCTAACTGCTTCTTCTGCAATCATTTGACAGTTATTTGTATCGACAGGTTTTGTCAAATCATACATAAATATACCTAATGAATTCAATTGTTGTAAAGTTGAGAGTGAATACAATACTGCTGGCCAGTCAGGTAACATATAATTAGAAGCGCGATACATAATGTAAATACGAATAGAACGAATGGTTGCTGCAAATGATGAACAATCATTTAGACAATTGATACTGTTGACGAGAGTTATATTACGAAGAGCAGATAAATGTATGGCAAAAGGTGTATTATAATAGAATAGATTGCACGTTTCAATACAATCGGATAATACTACATGAGGTAAAGAGCATATAGATGATGTCATATTTTCACTAGATGTATCTAATGTACGAAGAGATGATTGATAAATTTTTGTCATTGTTTGAGGTTGTTCAAACACTTGTATTTTAGTGATCCATCCCTCTAGCTCATATTCGTGAAAAAATTCATCAAATGTCCATGGAAGAGTATACCACATATGGTGACGATATTGAAAACCACGACCCTAAAAAATATAAAGAATATATTAACATATTATTAGATAAAAGTTAGATTATCAACTAAAGCATAAAGATTTTCTTTTTCTTTGTGTTTTAACTTGAAATAAGATGTAACAAAAAATATAGAAAAATATAATAGGGTAATGACTTACGAAATGATTGTCATTAGCGATCCGGTCCGGTCTGTAGGACCAGTCATTAACAACGAATGTTGCACCAACAATTTCTCGTGGATAAAAACAATTACCACGTGGTATATATTGAGTCATTTCGAGGAATTCAGAACAATTAATGAGATGGAAGGCGAAATGAACATCGATATGACGATGATCGGTAAAAATTGATGATGAACCAATACGTTTTAAATCATCTATATTAATAAAATAAGATATATTGACACGTCGAAGAACAGGCATAACATTCGAAGATGTCAACATTTCGATAAATGTCCATTCAATTCTTAACCATGAGAAAAAATGTTGAAAAAAAGTGAATGTATGTAAATTAACCATTGGAATCAATGAATGAAATATTGACGTTGTACAATACTTGCGGTAATCACCATTACCAATTCTAACGTGTAACTGACATAATGAATAGGAAAGTTTTTGTGTCGACATAATACGAACTAAATCATCCATCGATGGTAATAGCAAACGCAGATAGGTAAGAGGAACATGCACAGTAATGGGCCAATTCATCCAGTAACAGTTTAAGCCAAAGTCGAGAGATCGAAGTGCAGGAAAATGAATAAGAAGAATATTATGCATTAACTTCTCTAAGTCACCTAATGG